TGCTAGACACCTCCCAAAAGTCCACTGGTCAGCGCACCTGCCTCCCCCTTTTGGGACCCTCTGCATTTAAATATGCATGTACATATGTAGTCTATGCATTAAAGCATGCATATACGTACGCAGATTGGGCATTAACGTATGTGTGTATGCAGTTTATGCATTAAAGTATGCAGTTCAAGTATGCATGTACATATGCAATTTATGCCTTGATGTATGCATGCACATGTGCAGTTTATGCCTTTAAGTATGCAAGCATGTATACAATTTATGACTTTAAGTATGCATGTATGCAGTTTAAGAATGCAAATACGTATACAATTTATGCCTTTAGGTATGCATGTACGTATGCAGTTTATGCCTTTAAGTATTCATGCACGTGTGCAGTTTATATCTTTGAGTATGCATGTACAGATGCAGTGTATGCCTTTAAGTATGCATGGACGTTTGCAGTTTATGCCTTTATGCTTGTATGGATGCAGTTTATGCATTAAAACATGCCTGCATACAGTTTAAATACCTAAGGATTAGTAAGCTGTAATATGTTACATTTTTGTTTTCGGTTTAATACCACTTCAGCTTTTCATCTTTGTTTTAGAAACACATTTAGGTTGAGGACTATATTATAGCATGCACCCAAGGTCAGAGGGCTCCTTGGGTGCAGAGAATGAAATGTTAGTCATAGTAAAAGGTACCTGCAGAACCCTGGTGTTGCCTACACTTTCTCTGCACTGTTGTGCCATTCAGGAGTATGAGACAGGTTCCCTTTAAGACTGCACTAACGCTGAGAATATTTACCAAATGTTTCTGAGAACACAAAAGGAGTGTGGGAGCCCTGTCCCAATAAGCTCCCATGTTCCCATGTATGCAGGTGTATCCAGTCAATCCTCATTATTCACATCATAGGGCAGATCGGCGCCGCATATATTTTCATATAGCTTTAAACAGTGGCTTGATACAAAGCAAGCCAGCAGTCCCATGCTGCTAAATCTTTAATGGCAAAGAAAAAGGAATTCCTTAACTTGTCGGCACTACTTAAGGCCACAGCGTCTGATCAAAGCATAGTGAGCCCACAAGGAAAATGTAAAATGACAGGGGGGGGCGTTAAACGCTAAAAGCCTGTTGTTTGTTTACAGCAAGCCCAGAACCAAATCTGGAACATGTGATGGCAGGACCAGTGTTCTAGAATGCTTCTGGTCCGAATTCTGGCAGAATCTGGGCCAGCTGTAAACTGTACAGAACAATTAATATTTTCGGTTCATCAGTGCACTTTTTGTTAGGCCAGTTTTCAGCAGTCCATCAACATAGCTGACTAATCAGGTTTTTAATTGCTTTAATGACATGTCATTACCTTTCATTTCTGCACAGAGGGTATTGGACGGTACACGGTCTTCGGGGAGGGCCTGGGAATGTAGGTCATAGTCTTTCTGTAATATTCTTGGCTGCGTGAAGTAATCATTTGTGTCCCGTGGTTTGATCTCACTCATTATCATGTGCAACTGAGCCGCGGCTTCTGCGAGAGACAATGAGCACAGTCAGTGGGGAACGGTGAACCGCAAACAGCTTTGTCTCCCAGAGTTCATCACTGTGCCCTGACTGTTTTAGGTAACAGGACCCGAAACGTCTGAAGGCATGGCGGTTGTGTCGTTCAGCACAAAGGAGCAGACACAAAATAGTCCCATACAGATCAACTGTTAACAGCTATGGAAATAAAAGGTCATGAGACAAAATGCAAAGGGAAGTACATTAAAGAAGAACTCTAAAGAAAGCAACATGTTATGCTAAAACATAAAGAGAAAATTAGGATATGTATATTCATCATATGCACATATTAATCACTGGCACACATATTTAAAAAAATATATTTTTTATATAAAAAGATAAAAGATCGATCTCTACCAAACTAGTCCAGGGTGCGCTCTAGAAACACAGCATCTTTACTTTTTTTTCTATTGTGTTCATTGCACATACATTGATATACTGTTGGTCACTGTATTCCACTTATTATTTTCTGTACATGTAACGCCGATTGTCTGATCTGTGCAACTTGCCAAATTCAATAAAAATATTCAAATAGAAAAAGAGAAAAGATGACAACAGTGGATGCGTGGGACAGCTTTCCATTTTGGATCCCATCATTCCTCCGTTGTGGGCACAAAGCCTCTTCCCCATAAACTCTCTCTCTGGAGGTGATTCTCAGCCAATGTTTAGAGATGTGCTATATAACACAGTTGAGTACTGTCTGTGATACTTTATTTGCACTAACAGTTACATTTTCAGAACATAGCCCCTTCTTCTAAGGTCTAAGCAATCCCGATAACCAAGGCATTAGCAAAACTCATACCTTGTGCATCAGTACTGTTTGAACCAGAGGCATAACTAGAACATTCAGGGCCCCGATGCAAGAAACTATGAAGGGCCCCCGACTCCCCCACCCTTCCATCATGGTCCGCAGTGTTCCCTTTTACACCACGAGCCGCAGCATTCCCCTTTACATCAGGGTCTGCAGAGTTCCCTTTTTTACCAGAGTTTACCTTTACATCACAGTCCAAAGAGTTCCCCCTGACATCAGACTGCAGGGTTCCCTCTTACAGTGTAAGGGAGAACTCTGCAGACCCTAATGTAAAGGGGAACTCTGATGTAAGGGGAAATCTGAGGACTCTGGTGTAAAGGGGAACTCTGATGTAAGGTGGACTCTAGTCACCAGAGCCACCCCTCACATCAGAGTCTACAGTATTCCCCTTTACATCAGGGTCCACAGAGTTCTCCTTTACACTGTAGGGGGAATTCTGCAGACTTTAAAGGGGATGATGTGAAAGGGGTAATCTAGTGACCACAGTGACGCCCCATAGACTCTGTGTGGCCTGGCTGGAGCTGTCACACTGACCTCACCTCCTCCACTGTTCAGGGGCAGGGCAGTCGCAGTCATCATCCGCTTCTCCTCCCAGCACTCCCACACCCTACTTTCATATCACCCACCTGTTCAGTGTAGTTTTTCATCTCTAGGATTTGTCCCATATTTGTAGTTTTGGGTGCAATATTGTTGAAGAACTCCTCATTCTGTCCATATTGGCAGACTTTAACAAAATGGCGCCAGCAATGGAGACATCGGCTCAGCAGAGGACCGAGCTCCTAGTGACGGAGAGATGTCCTGTCCGGAGTGCAGCTCTGTATTCATCTCACCAGCAGTTGTGTGCTGATCTACCCTCCTCCTTTCTATAGATGTCACCACGCCAGCCCTGCCCCCCCCCCCCCAAGCCCGCCCCAAACCCAAGCACAATTTGGCTTGGGTTATATATATAAAAAATACAAATATATATATATATATATATATATATATATATACAGTATATATATAAAAAGAGATGTACACTCACAAAAAGGGGTTACTAATCACTGCCTAAGTATACAATCCAACACGAACAGGGATCAGGAGCTATACAAAATTGCAGAAAATAGTTTTATTACAAAGACTTTGGAAATAAACTATTTTCTACAATTGCATATCGCTCCTGATCCCCGTTCACATTGGACTTTTTATCTATCTATTATTGTAAGCATATCACACACATTTCCAATTTCTCCTTATGTTTTAAACAATATAGTCCTATATAGACCAGATATGGATAGGATATTGGTGAAATGTTCCTTTTGAAACCCTGATTTTACAAAATGTGGACTTTTCGGCCTCATGTACACAGGAAGTTTGTCCAGTTCCTCTGAACACCTTTTCTCCTGGGAAGGAAGAGAAAAACTGTATAAAAAAAAAAAAAAAAAAGCGCCTATAGCCGCGTTTTGCACATGGGTTTAGGCACATCAAGTGATTGGGAGTTCATTGATTCCATTGGCCAGAATACACATTTATTCTGGCCACTGGAATGGATGAACACTCATTTTATGTTTATGCGCATTTAGTGTTTTTTCTGCTCAAAAGCTCCTGTGCTGAATGTGCTGGTGACGTGTTTTTTCTTCAGCCTGTAGACACTTCTCTTCTTATACACCTGTAAATGCCTATTTGTGTATGGACACATAGGTTAACATAGAGGTTCATTTACAGGCTGTAGAAAAGAAAAAAAAGGCCTTTAAAAGCTGCATTTTTAAGTGTGAGGCCTTAAAGTAATAAGTATGCAGTTGGAATAAATGTGTGTCGCTATTCATTATCAAGCTGAACTAAAGCACAGCTTGCATCAGTCACAAAAGAGAAATGTCTAATTACTTTAACATTTTTTTTGTCCAGACATTTTGTCTGTAACATTCCGAACAGCAGGATATGCATACATATAGGTACTTACTTTTTGAATTCTTCTACAACTGCCAAAAAGAGCAATAGAAATTCAGAAAATAATACAGGCAGCACACAATTATTTAAGCGATGAAATGGATATAGGCAACTCACTGCCACCCCTTTATATCATTTCATGGTGGTTGCATTCATTTGCTTGGTCATCTATATGTCCATGTGTGTGGCCAGCATAAGTGTTTTTTAACTGAAAGATTTGCTGTTTTTTCTGACATTACATTGGGGTGTGTCTTTCGGTTACTTTGTTTGCTAATAATGCTAACATAGCAGTGATTAATTGCACACAATTGAAGCATTGTATGATTACGTGCAATTAATCATTACTAAACGCTGCTGCATTAATTACATTATAAGGGGTTATTTACTCCACCAGTTAGCAACTGACCACTACTGAGGATGAGCAAATCAATTGGCATTTAGGCAAATAGGAATTTATTTTTATTTGTCTAAACACACTCTTGTAGATTATGAATTCTTTACATTATATGATTCTCCATACATCAGACAGACTTGCATGGACTGGAAATATTAAAGTCCAACTGAACTTTCAGTTTAAATCAGCTACCGCATTTTTCGCTCCATAAGACGCACTTTTTTTCCCCCCAAAAAAGGGGGGAAAATGTCAGTGCATCTTATGGAGCGAATATGAAGCGGCCGGTCCGGTATTTCAACCGCCGCCGTGTCAGAATACCGGGCCAGCCGCTCAGCTCTTCTCTGCAGTAGAACCTTAGCTGTTCCTTGGTCCAGCGCTGCAGTCTTCCTGCGCCGGCTTCTTTAGTGCGGGCTCTCAGCGTCTTCTGGGACACATGACAGGTGCTTCTCGCGCATGCGCACTGGGCACCCGGCTGTTAGCCGGGTGCCGACACTAAAGGGAGGATAACTCCGCGGAAGTGGGAGCGGGTACCTGTTCAATTCAGGTACCCGCTCCCCCTCCCTCCCCAAAGGTCAGCAGTCTCTTAGTCATCCCCTGTACTGTCTGCAGTCTCTTAGTCATCCCCTGTACTGTCTGCAGTCTCTGATCATCCCCTGCACAGTCTCTGGTCATTTCTTGCACCATGTCCTCAGGCTCTGGTCATCCCCTGCACTGTCTGCAGTCTCTGGTCATCCCCTGCACAGTCTCTGGTCATTTCTTGCACCATGTCCTCAGGCTCTGGTCATCCCCTGCACTGTCTGCAGTCTCTGGTCATCCCCTGCACAGTCTCTGGTCATTTCTTGCACCATGTCCTCAGGCTCTGGTCATCCCCTGCACTGTCTGCAGTCTCTGGTCATCCCCTGCACAGTCTCTGGTCATTTCTTGCACCATGTCCTCAGGCTCTGGTCATCCCCTGCACTGTCTGCAGTCTCTGGTCATCTCCTGTACTGTGTCCGCAGTCTCTGGTCATTTTCTGCACCATGTCCTCAGTCTCTGGTCATCCCCTGTACTGTCCGCAGTCTCTTGGTCATCCCCTGTACTGTCCGCAGTCTCTGGTCATCCCCTGTACTGTGTCTGCAGTCTCTGGTCATCTCCTGTACTGTGTTCGCAGTCTCTGGTCATCTCCTGTACTGTGTTCGCAGTCTCTGGTCATCCCCTGTACTGTCCGCAGTCTCTGGTCATCCCCGGTACTGTCCGCAGTCTCTGGTCATCCCCGGTACTGTCCGCAGTCTCTGGTCATCCCCGGTACTGTCCGCAGTCTCTTGGTCATCTCCTGTACTGTGTCCGCAGTCTCTGGTCATCTCCTGTACTGTGTCTGCAGTCTATTGGTTCAGAATATTTTTTTTCTTGTTTTCTGCCTCTAAAATCTAGGTGCGTCTTATGGAGTGAAAAATTTAATCACAGGTGCATCAAAACAAAAAGGTTTCCAATGTCTTACAGTTTATTTTCCTTTTTAAAGCAGACACAGAGAAAAAAAGCTTGGTCCCCTGGAGACAGCTGCAGAATGGAACCTTTGCTCTCTGTAGGGAAGCAGTAGCCTCACTGCAGAAGTCCCAACATGCTCACTAGTAAGTCAGACCTATAACTCGGAATATCAGTAAATCTCATGCTCTTTACTGATTGCAGAGCTCTGGCTTTGACTCAGGCATGTCAAACCTCTTCATCACTGCTTCCCCACAGAGAGCAGGCCATGGATGAGTAACAAATAAAAAAGTTTGTAAAGCATTTAGCCAAATTAAACCAACAAGTACAACTAAGCTTTAAACAGCTGCAAATTTGGGATCCGAATATAAAAATATATATTTATAAAAATGTGAAATATATTTATAGCTCAACTTTAAAAAGAAGAAAAAAATGCCTCCCTCACCCACCTTTACTAATGAAGTCTGTTGCTTGTTGCTGCAAACAGCATCCAAAACACCAGTAGTGCGTCCAATGCCGTTGTGAGGTTGACTATAACTCTATAATCAATTTGCTTACCTAAACCAATTTTTAGGCTTTAATTTGAAACATAAAATTCAGTAAAAACCCCTGCTCTGTTTTTATATGCTGACAAAAGCTTAAAGATTTAAATGTAACTAAATAAATAAAATATTATATATATATATATATATATATATATATATATATATATATATATATATATATATATATATATATATATATATATACAGTGAGGAACAGGAGTATTTGAACACCCTGTGATTTTGCAAGTTCTCCCACTTAGAAATCATGGAGGGGTCTGAAATTCACATTGTAGGTGCATTCCCACTCAGAGACAGAATTAAAAAAAAAAAATTCAGGAAATCATTTTTAAAGAATGTATTTGTCTTGTCTTGCACTGCTGAACATAAGTATTTGAACACCTGAGAAAATCAGTGTTAATATTTGGTGCAGAAGCCTTTGTTTGCAATTACAGAGGTCAAACGTTTCCTGTAGTTCTTGAACAGGTTTGCACACACTGCAACAGGGATTTTGGCCCACTCCTCCACACAGATCTCCTCTAGATCTGTCAGGTTTCGGGGCTGTCGCTGAGCAACACGGAATTTCAGCTCCCCCCAAAGATGTTCTATTGGATTTAGGTCTGGAGACTGGCTAGGCCACTCCAGAACCTTGATATGCTTCTTACGGAGCCACTCCTTCGTTATCCTGGCTGTGTGCTTTGGGTCATTGTCATGTTGGAAGATCAGCCACAACCCATCTTCAATGCTCTGACTGAGGAAAGGAGGTTGTTGCTCAAAATCTCACAATAAATGGCCCCATTCATCCTCTCCTTAATACAGTGCAGTCGTCCTGTCCCCTTCGCAGAAAAGCACCCCCAAAGCATGATATTACCACCCCCATGCTTCACAGTAGGGATGGTGTTCTTGGGATGCAACTCATCCTTCTTTTTCCTCCAAACACGACGAGTGAAGTTTAGACCAAAAAGTTCTACTTTGGTCTCATCTGACCACATGACTTTCTCCCATGCCTCCTCTGGATCATCCAGATGGTCATTGGCAAACTTCAGACGGGCCTGGACATGTGATGACTTGAGCAGGGGAACCTTCCGTGCAATGCATGATTTGAAACCATGACGGCGTAGTGTTTCTACCAATAGTGACCTTTGAAACTGTGGTCCCAGCTCTCTTCATGTCATTGACCAGCTCCTCCCTTGTAGTTCTGTGCTGATTCCTCACCTTTCTTATCATCAGTGATACCCCATGAGGTGAGATCTTGCATGGAGCCCCAGTCCGAGGGAGACTGACAGTCATCTTTAGTCTCTTCCATTTTCTAACAATTGCTCCAACAGTTGATCTATTTTCACCAAGCTGCTTGGCAATTGCCCCGTAGCCCTTTCCAGCCTTGTGGAGGTCCACAATTTTGTCGCTGGTGTCTTTTGACAGCTCTTTGGTCTTGCCCATGGTAGTAGTTGGCGTCTGACTGACTGTGGGGTGGACAGGTGTCTTTAAAAAACTCAGACAGGTGCTACGAAGTTAGATTAATGAGTGGAGTAGAGGTGGGCTTTTTAAAGGCACAGTAACAGGCCTTTGAGAGCCAGAATTCTTGTTGTTTCTTAGGTGTTCAAATACTTATGTTCAGCAGTGCAAGACAAATACATTCTTTAAAAATATCATACAATGTGATTTCCTGATTTTTTTTTTTTTTTTTTAATTCTGTCTCTGAGTGGGAATGCACCTACATTGTGAATTTCAGACCCCTCCATGATTTCAAAGTGGGAGAACTTGCAAAATCGCAGGGTGTTCAAATACTTCTGTTCCTCACACATATATATATATATATGTATGTATAAAATGTATTTATTTCTAAATACTAGAGTTGTATCTGGCAATTACTGCATTAAACAGTGCCATTTTCAGGATGCAGTAGCAGCTATAGTATAACCTGCAGGCTGAAGGCTTCTTTTTTAAATAAAGCCTTCACACTGTATTGCAACAACTCTGAGTATCTTTTGAAATGCTAATGTTCATGGGCAACTTTTACAAAATAATCATTGCATTTTACAACATATCTATGTGAACCATTTCTTAGCATCCTTTTGCATTAAAAATAGTTATCACTACCTTAGCATAAGAAAGACTTACCTGATTCGATATCCATTGGCATAAGACCTTCTGGAGAAGAACTGTGCACAACAGGCGAAACGATGGTGGAGAGTCGGTAGGACATTGTAATCAGCTGAAATACCAACTTCCTCCATTCCTCAACCGCTTGGAGACTCCTAAGGACGATCACGGACATTTTCATCAAACACATCGTGATGATAAAAAGATACAAATAAAAGCAGCAGAAGAGTGAAATCACAAAACATACAAGAAACAAATACATTTATCCCAGGTGCCAAGTCACCATGGTGACTAGAAATGACATCCTGATGCCTGGGTTCACAAACTGCCTCCTAATGCAAAATAGCATCCTATTTAATTAAATGCAAAATCGCCTCCCATTGACTTCAATGGAAAACACCTCCTATTGACTTCAACGCAAAAATGCCTGCCATTGACTTCAATGTAAAAACTGCTGTTACTAGCATGTGAAAACTTATCTCCGCATGCCACTTTATCGCTCGTGAGTCTGGAATGTACTGCTATAAACTAGCACAGGAGCCTTTTCGTAATGGTACTCAAAACACAATGTCTGTGGATCACATCTGTTTGAACCACCTCAATAGAAACACATATCTAACCTGTCATGCAAATTTGTGAGTTTTGAAAAGCATCCAGAATCGCATATGTGTGAACTAGGGCGGTTCTATTCACACCTGGACATTTAGGGATCTCAGCAGAATCATTGTGATTATAAAATGCAGGTTCAGGTGCCATTATTTCAATGGCACCTAAAACGTGGTGCAATTTTGCCATGATCATCGTGCAGCAAATCACATCGCAGGAAGCTTGTCGCCCAAAAGCTGCCTTTTCCCGGGCACTGACAACCCACGCTATGCTCAAGAAAAACTGGCTCCTAACTTTTAGCTGGCCCCTGGATTCAAAGCAAAATTTGTCAAACCTTAATTTACCCTATATAAGAAAAAACTGAATGCTTTACCCAATTTTAATCCGATTTTCAGCGTGATTATGTGTGGCAACATGAATGTGTTCTGCTTCTTCCATGGGGCCAAAATCATGCTGGAATCGCGCTAAAGTAGTACAGGAACCTTTTCAAAATTGTGTCATGGTGAGTTGCAATGGTGTGGACAGACACCCACCCATCGCCATGCAATTCTGTCCTTCAGACCTCCCCCGTGCTGCTGGAGCCATACGGTAGGGCTCCGATGTGATGATAGGACTGTGTGATTGTCGGGCTTTATGATGGGGGAACTGTGTGATTGAGGCCTCTCTGCGATGGGGGGAGACTATGTGACTGGGGGGCTCTGTGATGGGGAGAACGTCAATGTGAAACCTCTGATGTGTATGGAAACCCTCTGATGTGACGGGGGCTCTGATGTAAAGTTACATAGTTTGTCTGGCTGAAAAAAGACAAAAGTCCATCCAGTTAAAGTAGAAGTTCAGTCAAATCCTCTCTAAACTTAAACCTCTAAGCCCTATACCAATTACCCTGTGAAGAAAAGAGGTGTATACTTACCTATTCTGAAGGCACTCCAGTCTGGTCACGTGAGCTTCCCTGAGGCTGGCTTCAGTTAAGAGGAGAGATCGCTGACAATGGTTGTAATATCATGTTTTTACTCATAGGCTTACTATGGGGAATCCATTGGTCGGCTGTCCCCCCTATACACTGAAGCCGGAGCTGGGAGCCGATCACGTGACCGGACTGCAGTGCCCTGAGAATAGGCAAGTATAGACATCTTTCCTTTACAGGATAATTATTATAGGACTCAGAATGGGAGTGGGAGAAGGTTTATATTTAGATAGGATTTGACTGGATGTCTACTTTAATTTAAAGGATACGTTCACCTTTGGGAACATGTTACATGTTCCACCTGTT